CAACTCAGAATCGGATCAGTTACTGTAGGGCTCGATGCTCTACAGTACCACCACGTGTACCCCCAAGTACAGGGGGCGCACGTGTACACGTGTACGCGCGGAACCGAAGAGCGCACACACGTGTACTGTCAGCCCCGATGGCTGACAGTTTTACAGTTTCGACCGACCGCTACAGTACGTCGCTACAGTACATCGGTACTGTACTATTATGATAGGTTATTATGTACATTAAATATGGAGCGGACCGGCGGCGGTGGAGGAGGACAAGCACGGACTTGTCACCCACCGACCGTCAAGGTCCGACTTCCCGCTTATTCTAAGGTCGCGCTCCCTAACTACCTTAGAGCGGCACCGGTTGAGGACGCGCGCGGTACGCCCACGAGTCGGCTCCGCCTCCCCCCGTCGGTACTGGATCGTTACCCAGTACCGCGCCCGGGCGTCGAGGCGTCGAATCGCTCGCGCGTACCGGCGTCCTCCCCGTTCCCGCTCTACCACGCTACCCGGGCCCGCTGCCCGGTGCCGTTACCTGGTGTCCCGCTTCACCCCCGTCTTCTCGTTCGGACGGGGTCTACGTCGAGCTGTGCATACACCCCTCTCCGCTGGGGGTGTTTATGCTACACTCCATGACACCTTTTTCACGCGCACGGTAAGCTGTTCTGGTCGAGAAGCCCGTCTCGTCAAGGTTAAATATCTGCTCTCCACTCTTGATTCCGTACTCGTCGTAGGCCTGCTACAAGCCTGCGTAATGTTGGGCAATGTTCTCGGGGCACATCGCAATGGCCCTGGTTTTTTCGAGATTGCAGCGGCGTTTGAGCGAGAGCGTGGGGTTTCGCCTGAAGAACCCCGATTATCCCCGGACGGAGGTTAACATCGCTCCTCTGGCAAGCGTTCTCAAAAGTGCCGCAAGAGGTCCTTGAGTCCTTCCTGAGATAAATGTGTGCCATTGCGCGCGGACGCTATGGCAGAGTCCGTGATAAGGACTGCTTCTTCCCGACGCGACGTGGTGGGATGCCCGGCGATTTTTGGGATCCGTTCTAGCGCATTGCAGTATACCCTGAATGACCAAGGCATGTCAAACAGGCGAGCCGCGGCGCTCGGAGAGTCCTTTTTGTTGATGACGTATCGACGGGTGTTGTCCAACCGAAGGTCTTTGTCAGACTTTGGGAGGCGTCGGAAAGGGGTAGAGTGGACTATCGGGATCGGGGGTGGTTGCGTGTGAGAGTAGCAGACGGGCTACTTCGGGGCTGAGGAGGGTGCTTCATGGGGAAATTCATGGATGCTGATGGCTCAAGTGTTGTCGATTTGGGCGCGGGAATCTGGTGTGGACAAAGAGAGGGCGGGGAATTCGAATATGCAATCAGATTTATGCGGCATCTATTGGTGTTTGAGATATTCGCTCACGAGTGCTCGTCATGCCCGGCATGATAACTTTATGCAAAAGTTTAATAACTAATCCGGTTAGGAATGCAGTAATGGTTTGAGAATGGGGTGTCCGATGATAACCACACGTTTTGGTGTATAATTTCTGTTATCCACCGACACAAATACACCTTGAAATACACCAATAAGTGCCCAATGTTATTTTAAAACTAGATTGATTCAGCCAATGAGTGTGTCAGGTGTATTCACAGCTCTACTTTCGGCCCAATTGCCCCACTCCTGGATTCTGGACACTCTCCAAGTACTGTACCCGGAGTTCGAGATACTGATACAGTAGCTGGTTCCACCGAAAGTGCTGGGGATACTAATGACAGTTTCTAAATCGTGGTCTATATTTTCGAATACGTGGTGTATATTTTACCCAACTGCTAGACTTGCTCTAATAAGAGAAGTTTTGTTACGTACCAATCTTATTTTGGAAGTTTTGTTGCGTACCACTTTTTATGAGCACCTTTTCTTAGGAACGCTACACCCGAATATCGCAAATAGTCTAGGCTATACTATTCAAAATTCAACGTCAAAACAGACCCTCACTGATTTTACTGCAGCCTATGCTAATATGTGCAACGACACTATATAGGACAAACGCAATTAGCATAGACTAATTATTTAAATATATTACAATAGTGCAGGCTACACTATTACCTCGTTTACTGAATGGGCCAATCAAATCACGAGCAACATACCTCGTCGACAGTTATTCTCTTTATAGGTCATCAACAACTGGTGCTCCCTCAAAGTGTGTTCGGTATTTGTTAACAATCTCCTGCAGCTTCGGGAAAAGCTGTCGTTCCTCCCACTGCCCATTGATATTTAAAGCAAGACCAGTCCGTATCATCACCTTTCGTGCGAAACGAATGCCGTCTCTGTCGCGCATAGCATTGACCTCGCGAACTGCAGCGGCAGCAAGACGAAGATAAAAGTATTTGCCTGGGTTAGGAATTTTCCCTGAACCCGGCGCAAACCCGTCCTTCATGATCACCTCCATCTTGTACTTATCCCAACGCGACCTCCATGCATCCTTTAATTTTTGAATAACAAATGAGTCCACTGGCTGGATCAAATCTGTCGCATTGGGTGGGAAAAATCGCACTTCAGTGTTGATAGAATTCAATGGCGTCGCTAAATTTGTAGATGCTCCATGTCCACTGCAGTTGTCTACAAACAAAATACGCTTGCGGCCATGAGGAAGAGGCCGGATGACCTTTTTCTCGGAGAGCTACTGGGGGAAGACGGTTCCATCCATCCAACCTTTAGGCCCAGAACGGTACGAAACCGCGCGGACATTGTCAGGAACCCGTTGTATAGGATAACTTCTATTCGCGTTTTGGAAAATCATAAACGGAGCTTCAATAATTGCGTCCCTACAGCCTGAAATCCTTACCATCATAGACATTCCCTCAGAGCCAGAGACAACATCAGAATATTTAACCTCTGAGTCGCCACACCTCCCCAATGTCCTATGGTTATCGAGGTTGATAAGGAAGTGCATTTCATCTGCGTTACAGGTATCATTCTCGTCAATAGCACACGAGCGAAAATCCCTAGCAACGACTCCGAGGTGGAACGCAACATCTCGCTCAGTCTGTGCCTGCTTCGCTGCTGACACCATACGTTTCCCAGTTTGCGCTCTGCTGACAATATGATATCGGTTCATGAACCCCTGTACCCAACGTGAAGTTATCATATCGACAATTGATTTTTGTGATTTTTCGTCTATCATATTTGTAAGATAATCTACATTGCTGGACTCCTTCACGAGATGCAATGCGAGATGACGTAGCAACTTAGCACTGAATTTCAATCCTGTCTTCAACCTATCAAAATCTTCCAGAAGCGCAATATGCAGAGCTTCAACCCAGACGGCACGTTTGCGCCCTCTTCCCGTCCGAGCCTTGATATACACTCGTTTGAATCCCACTCTTGTGACCCGGGTTATCGAAAAAGGTATACCACGGTTGTCCACACTTCTCGAATAGGACAAAAATTCTTCTCGCGCCGCCCAGAGCCTGCTCGCCTTCCCGCTGTTCGCCTTTGCATTACCTCTGAACAGCATGGGGAAGCGACGAATGGCACGGGATGCAATGTGTTTCGCGCCATCTGTGCTTGCGGCGTCAACCATCCATGTGACAATACGGATACGCTCAGCATGGGTTAGTACATTTTGTAGTGCTTGGGTCGGTACAGGGGCCAAGGGTGTAGCATTCATAGATGCCCGGGCGGATTGAGTGTCGTTGGCAGGAGGGGTAAGGGATGAGTTCGGGATTGGAGCCGTGAGGAGAGAGGGGTTGTGGTGGTAATGGAGGGGTGTCATGGGGACATGTGAGGCATTTGCAGGGGTGAGACAGGCGATTGCGGCTATAGATGTGTTGGTAGTAGCTCGGTTAAGAGCCCGAATAATAGGCGATACTGAGCAGTCCATGTTCAGGACGTAGGCTTCGGTAATAGTTTTTGCGATTGTTGTTTGGAGGTGTCGAGATAATGAGGCTTTTTAGAGCTTTTTTACCCCTTTGATGTGCTTAGAAAGGTATGAACTCGGATACAAAGAGCTTTCCGCCAACGTCTGTGTCTGAGAGACCGTTTCGGTTTCGTTTCTTGTTTGTTTGGCGCGTCTCCACTAATATACGTGAAGTAATTATTAGTGTAGTCTACAGTAAAAGTATTTTCAATAAAGAACACCTCACAGAAGTTACTGTAGCCTATACTAATATGTGTATCCACACTATTAGCCCACCCAAACTATTTGCGGTATTCGGGTGTAGAGTGATGAAGAGGTGAAGAGAGCTTCGTCGGAATGAGCTTGATCAAAGGGAGCACGTTCCCTGACAAGCACAGCATCTTGATGGCATCCTTAGCCCTGTGCGCCACCGTGGGCCGATCTCACAGGGTAAAAAACTCGACTCGGGGCGCCTGCGTATACAGTGCCCCTCCCAGGAGTGCTCATACACTGTCAACGCCCAACCAGACCACAGGGCAAACAACGGGTTGTGGAAAGTGGGAAAACTCAATCTCACTCACTCCTGCGACGACGCAATAAAGGGGAAACGAAAGCGCAAGCCCCTAGCCGTGTGCTAGTGTTTGATAATCTATGCGAGCGGCATGCGAACGTCCCAGAGGCTGCACATTGGAATCATCTGGACACAAAGTGGGCATCGACTGTTTTTCATCATGCAACACTTCAACCCCAGTATGTTGCTGCTGCTGCCCTTGCCTCTCAAGTAAACGTTAACGTGGATTTGCAGATTCTCCCTATTGCCGGACAGATGACCGCGTGGAGAGTTCCGAGTCAGGCAGGTCGACCGAAGAAACACGGAAACAGGGGGTCGCAGCGCTTCAACGAAAGTTGCGTTGCTCTGCTTGTGGTCAAGTTGGGCACTACGCTACGACATGCGAAGCCCCAAATCTGGGGTACTGTACCTCTACCGGAAAGTCGTTCGGGAGTGAGGTGAAGAAAGTGGTACGTAACAAAAATTCTCTTCTTAATACAGTGAACCCTCCCGATAAGGATCATTCTCCATATGGGTATCCTTCGTAAACGGATAAAAAGTTGAGCGACTTACTCCGTAGCTTACAAATTTTTACCAAAAAACAATGTCTGTGGAATATTCCTCAATTGGATATCGGGTTCAATGTGAAATAAGCATATCATACAGACCCCTCCTACTTAAAAACGTATTTTATGGTTACTTTTGAGCGGCCAAGGCACAAATTACCCCATAACCGTTCATTCTTGATCGATCCCTTCACAGTCTGCTCAATAAATTCCAATCCCCGTCTGTGAGGCTTCGCAATTATCATCGTTCTCGACAAAAACATCTTTCTAGCATGTACTCCTGTTGGTCCTCCCCCAATAAATCTCCTCTGATCGCAAACATTGCGTGTTGTCAGCACCGTAGCCATCTGCCCCCGTCAAGCGACAATCGTCGATGAAGCGCTCTGAGCTTAACCTCGCCCAAAAGCAACAAATATGTGCAGAGTTCCAACGGCGCAAAAAGAGCAAGGAGCAGACGTTACAAAGCGCCCTTGCGAAGTGGGCCTCAGTGCAGTTTTCCCTTTCCAAACCTCCTGCTCAAGCTGTCATGTCCCGCATCATCAACGGCAAGTATGGTTTTCGTCCCGATATCTCTGCGTACCAAGAAGTGGAATTGCACAGTCCAGACGACGATAAATAAATTTTTAAGTAAAGCACAGACATTCTGAGAGATGCAGGTCACCGTGACACCGTTATGATACGGTCTCCGGATGTGAATAACCTCCGCAAATAGAGGGTTTACGCAAGCGCATTTCTGCAACATATGCCTAACATATGACTAAAAAACATTACAGTTAGTCAGATTTCACAAACGGATGTGACAAAAATTAGTGAAATGTGAGTGCATAGTGAAATCGTTTCTGTAACCGTTTCGAACACACGTGTTAGACGTGGTATAAATTTGGCGGGTACCTTCATCACCTTTTATGTAGACCTGAGCTCTAGAGTGACGTTGTAACCACCTTTACTCACATCATGGCCAACGTTATCCCCTCTTCACCATCTCTCTCCCCTACCCTCGACCTCACAATCCCCCACACCCCCACCCCTGAGCGCAGCGATGTCAATTGCGCGCTTGATCCCTCCCCCCACAAAAAAGGAGGCCGGCGACCAAAGTTTACGCCGGAGGACGACCTCATACTCGCACGTGAAGTATCTGCCGCTAAGGCACACGTTGCCGGGTATGAGGAAATCCAGAAGAGACTCGGCGAGGCGGCGACGCGGGCAAACCTGAACGGGAAACTGTCACAGACGGTCACTGCCAAGAGCGTCCAGGACCGCTACAAGAAAATCTAAGACGCCTTTGAGCGACGGGACGCTGCGGATAGAAGACTGCCGGGGGTTGGCGGCGAAATCAGAGATCTCGACGAGCTGCTGGGGATGATGGGAGAAGCGCGAAACGACATGGAAAAGGAGAAGAAGGCGGCGGCGGCTGCTCAAGAAGAGAGAGAGGCCAGGAAGGTAAGAATTGGAAAGGACCTCGTGGCTCGTTCGCTGACGCGTAAGCGCTCCGACAGCGAGGAAGGAACCGAAGAAGAAGACCGAGAGGCTAACGGAGAAGAAGAAGCCCAACTGGGCTCTCGAAAGAAGCGTCGACAGTCAGTAGAACGCGCCGGAGGCGCGTTCCAGGCGGATCTGGAAAGCTTTGGTATGGCATTGCGCGATGCTGACATGGCTCGCCTTGCAATTGATAAAGAGCGTCTAGTGCTGGAACGCGAGCGCGTCGAGATGGAACGAATGGACCGCGAGAAGGAGCGCCAGCTAAGAAAAGAAGAACGCATCGCGCAACACGAACTCGAACTTGAAAAGTTCAAGATGATGATGAGTGCCTTCATGCAGACTAAGAAGTAGCTCTACAGTACTTGTCACAAAAACAATAAATTCAGCCCTTTTGCGCCTCCTTTACTACTAAAAGTGCCGTTTTTGAGCCTCCAAACGCGCTGGCGCTGCTCGCGCAGGGCTCCCTGCGGGGCTGCGGACGAAGTCCGCTCGCTTCGCGGCCTGCGGCACGCGGACTTTGCGCGAAGCGCAGGCGAACGAGAAGTGAGGACATGTTGAGGACTCGGAAGAGTAGACACATTATTGTTGTTTGTGGTCGAGGTAGTCTTCCAGGGTGGGAGGTGCGCAGAGGAAGTATTGGGAGATGGAGGTCGGATACACGCAATTTTTGAGGTTCGTAAGCAGCATATCGGCGATATATAGAGCTCCAACAGGCGACTCTCCCGTCTTCATCTTTCTCTTGTAGTCCATAGTCGACCAGTACAGCTTCACTTCCTTGAAATACCACTCCACCGTCACTCTTCCCTTAGACATAGCACCGTTGAATGCGCGTTGGTGAGCGCTTAGGTTGGAGCCTTGATACGGTACTTCTAGAAATGGGCGCGGGTTGTATCCGGAGTCCCCATACATGCAGTACTGCTTCCCTCCTACGAACATAACTTGCGGTAAGGACTCATCTACTCCACTCCGGCAGTCGAGCGTCCAGTCATGCCTCCTTCCCTCAATAGGTCCAGCAGCATGTAGAACCAAGCCATCCGGTGATGTGATGGCTTGGTATTTTAATGCATGCTTGCGCTTGTGACCATTGTACGCTACGTTCTGCACCTCCCCTGTAGTCGGCCGAGCAATAGCAATAACTGTACCATCAATGAAGCCTGTGCAGTTGTCCAATGCTTCACATTTATTTTTGATGGCACATGCGTATAGCTCGGCCCTTTCACTAAAGAAGGTAGAATCTATGTCTGAGAGTATTAAATGTTGACGAGCTTCCAAGAAACTTTCCATTCCCTCCCAAAATATCTCTGACAGTTGCCCTCCATGCTTCCCGAACAGTATCTCCATGTCGCGTCAGCGTGCTGGTGTGGTCAGACGTCGAAGTAAGACACATTTTACGAGAATCGGGGAGCATACGTAGCGATTCCTGGTAGTAATGTCCCTTTCCCATGCAATTTCCGTCACCATTCGGATTACATCTTGCTTGCGGAATCTGAAAAGAGAGAGGCAACATACATCTGTTAAAGCATTGAAGTTAAACGAAAAGGAAGAAAGAGAGATGCGGTTAGAACGTTCAGAGAAGCGGAAGAGCTCACTTTGCTCGGACATACAGCGTTTGACACAGTGCATCAAAACAACACTTGTTGAAGAAGATGAAGGTAGATGACGTCGTGCCACCAATACACGCAAGGCTGCCCTCCATTTCATTGCCCTTGCTGTGGCAAGGGTCACGGAATGGTCGCGCTGACGTCCTCTTGCCATCACTTGGCGGGTGAATGCTATCGATGCTAGTACTCCTATGCAGTTGCTCACGTTCTACTTTGCGTATATGCTCGATTGTACTCATGACCAACCCCCCTCGCTGTAATTTTGGTTTGTGAAATTTTAGTCATATCCGTTACAGAAATCCTTTTGCGTAAACCCTAAAATGGATACGGATTACGTCCACCGAGCGTATCCATATCCAGAGGGTTCACTGTAAACGACATCATGTACAGTATCAATACCGAATACAGTAACTACAGTAATAAAAAGAAGAAAAATGCACTGCAAGAGATGATCTAATCACGAAAACGAATCAGAGATGGCAAGCACTCTCGTTACTGCCGAGAGCTAATGTGCCATGATCCGAGAAAAAACTGTAGCTCGAAATTCTGTATTTCTTTCCCTATTTTTTTCTCTATAAAGGCGTTCGCTCCTTCCATACCGCCCCAAGGCAGGTCACACACATTGTCCCAAGGTCCCTGGAGAAACTTTCGCCATCATTTCGGTCAAGGCCAGGGCGTCCCATCTTCTACGTGAATCGTCCAGCCATTGCCGGCAACAATTGATCTTGGTATTCAACTATGGGCGCGCTAGCGAAGCGGCCTCGCTGCGCCCCTTTTTTTGTACATCCATCAATGGCCCTTGGTCAGAGTCCGTCTGCTAACACTCTACAAACTCTGAAGGTGTGCGGGGTAGTATCTCCTGAGGATGCATCTCTTGTGACCGCGGTGACACGATCGCTTCTTCCCCCCAATGTAGATCTCCTGATCGGATCAATTCTGTGGCCGGGATCGAAGCGATCAGTTTCACACGCCACAGCTGCTAAGATCGCGGATGTGGCACGCGCAGCAGGAGCGACCCCTGTCGCCGTCTTTGTCGATGAGTCCATAGAAGAGATGCGCCATGTCTGCAAGACGTGCGGGTTTCAAATTTCACAGCTGCACGGGGGTCCTTGCCGGGCATCTGTACGAAGTGCTGGCGCCACTCTCGAGGAAGGGCTCAAGTTCATTGACGTGAAGGATATCGCATCGGATGGGAGAGCTTTGGAAGAAGAAGATATTGAGGGCGCTTTCTGGAGATTATATGACGCAAAAGGAGGAGGAACTGGAAAGCCATTCAACTGGAGCGGCTTCAATCGCCCACAGGAGCGATGGTTGCTCGCCGGAGGTCTCGATCCTGGCAATATTACACAAGCCATTACAGCCTTACGTCCCAATGGAGTAGACGTCGCCAGTGGTGTCGCCGGAGAAGATCGCTGCAAGAAGGACGAGAAAAAGTTGCGGCTGTTCGTTGAGAGACTTGTGGAAGCTTATGCATGACTTTTTATTGCTGACAAACTAACACCAAGAACAAATGATATGTTACACGTGCCTGCCACCCCTTTCCTTACCTTCGCCTTCCATTCCTTCTCCATCTGCACTCATCAAAGCAGACGTATGGCCTGACTTTAGAAACCAAATGCATCTAGTGTGTACCTGACATTCGGAGACCATGCGTCTGTCGGGAAGGAATTTACTGATGCTAGAGCAACTCGGCGAGAAATCTATGAGTCAAATTGCGGCCTTTGCCATTAATCAAAGCGATCGTGCCACTCTCTCCGCACAATCCCTTTCGCAGTGTCCACCTACATACTCCTGAAGTAGTGTGTCTGCACCAGCACGGCAGTAGCCCTCTGCGAGGCGACGTACAACAAGAGACCTGGCTGCTCTCAGAACGCATGAGTGTTTAGTAAAATGCATCTGCCTGCGTCAATTATGATTCGTGCATCCACTGGGCTGCCTGTTTGGCGTAGTACGTCAAGATGGCGTCTGCACCAGCACGCCTAAAGCACAGGAGTGACTCCAGAACTGATTCCCTCTCGTCTAACCAGCCTCGCTGCGCCGCGGCTTTCATCATGGCATATTCTCCGGACACGTGATATGCTGAAATTGGTAGGTTGGTAGCAGCCTTGAGGCGATGAATGATGTCCAAGTACGGCATGCCTGGCTTGACCATTAGCATGTCCGCACCCTCAGCGACGTCCAACGCGGCTTCGATAAGGGCTTCGCGTGAGTTAGCCGGGTCCATCTGATAGGTCTTCTTGTTCGGCGGCGCATTTGAAGACTCCCTCGGTGCAGAATCCAACGCATCCCTGAACGGCCCATAGAACGCGGACGCATATTTTGCAGTGTACGAAACGAGCGATACATCTGTGAAACCATATGAATCGAGGGCATCCCGAATGGCCCCAACACGGCCGTCCATCATATCAGATGGTGCCACCACGTCCGCACCTGCGCGTGCCTGGCAAACAGCCTGTCTGCAGAGCTGCTCAACTGTCTCGTCGTTGAGAATGCGCCCCATTCCACCGTCTCCGCGATTGTCGGCCGAGACCATGCCATCATGTCCCTGATCGGAATAGGGATCGAGCGCGACATCGGTCCAGACGGCGACATTCGGGTAGCGACTCTTGATTGCGGAGATCGCCTTTGGGATGAGGCCATTGGGGTTATAGCATTCCTCGGCGGCGTTTGTCTTGACATCCTCGGGAATTTTTGGGAAAAGGATCACAGACTTAACGCCGAGTGCTTCTGCTTCGCCGACTTCCTTCAGAACGGATTCTAAAGAATGACGCTCACATCCTGGCATCGCTGAGATCTCTTCATTGTAATCCTTGGTGTGAATGAAGAGCGGATAGATGAAGTTGGACGGCGAGACAGAATTCTCACGAACCATGGAACGGAGACCCTCCGTCTTTCTATTGCGACGGGGGCGCGCACGTTGGGGGACCCATATCTTGCCCTCATCATTCACCCGCAAACCTGGAACTGGCCCCTCAGCCAAACGATTGCCCGTGACGGTCGCACGCAGCGTGGTCAGGGCGCGATCCGGTCTGCGTGATGATTTTCCGGTCGAAGACGTAACATTGCCACCGAGGAACGGACTCTGCTTGGCAAACGGTCCCGTCACAAAAGCTTGCATGATGATCTCTGCGTTCTATAAAGTGAAGGGGAAGCACAAGTGGAATCTGGCAAGCGTTGGGTAAGTAGCGACGCTTCGTTCCGGAGCGGTGTGCAAAGTTTGCACTGCAAACCTCAAGGGTTAAGATGCCGCGAGATTTTATCATTTTCGAGGTGCATATCATGGACCACACAGTAACTACTGTACACGTGTGTTTCTGTCAATTTTTACGACACTCCCTTGCTTTCATACGTAAAAGTGGCTTCCCTTCTGCAATGCCGGACGAGAGATGTCACCGGGTCTGAAATCTATAGGCTTGGTATCATGCACCCAAGCATGAAGGATAACCCCGATATGAAGATTGCTCCATAAACGAACTGTATCCTTACAACGGGGTTTCATGGTACTGTACCAATTCACGTAAGCTTTAGTCTTGTTTTATCCGCACAGCGAGAGTCTGAACGGGGGCGAAAGAAATGCACAGCACTGTACGTTCGGTCCTTCCCTGTCTCAGGTTCTTGGCACGAAACCTCACGTGCGTGGATCATGACCCAGAGTTGCGTCTTCGACGGCTGATATTGGCTGCACTTCGAACTATACTGAGCGACAACTCTCACGACCTTTCGTTTAACAGTCTCATCTTTGTCAGAAACCATCTTTTTGCTACTGTACTCCTCCAAGCCCAAGGTCATAATAAATCAGTTGCTTCTGCTTCCGTAAAGTACTACCTTCCCCATCGACACAATTGACGGACTAATCTGCTCTTGACACAGTACCTTGAAGGTACTGTGTCAAGAGCAGATTAGTCCGTCTCTCGACACGTCTATTTTAATGGCAAAAGATCAAGTTCAGTATCATATCTATTTCCTACTCTCACAGCTTCCGATACAAACTAAATCTTCAAAACATGGAACTTTAATTCGCCACTGCTGCAACACGACAACGTTCTGATGTAGGCTCGCAGAAAGTTGGCTTGGGAGCTGAGGGTGACTCAAATCACGATTGGTTGCTAATTTATGTTAATACCACATGTACCTGACTTTTCGAAAAGTGTGTGTTGTGGTTCCCCTTTCATTGAAACATGAGCTCCAATCATTCCTTCAATCTTCAACGAGTCTATACCGCGGGTTTACGATGTCCATGCTTGATCTCCTAGATGCAATAGATTCATGACTTTGAAGTTGTGCCTCTATGTTAGATACCGGAACAGGCAGCGGTGATAGATTGAATGACGAACAGCGGAAAGTAGCACGATAAATGACAAGCACAGGCTGACGGAAATAGCTTTGGTGTTTTGCCTTAGTGTTTTTCTAGGCATGTCAGGCCCTAGAGCGCGCAAGTCATAAAGATATCAATGATGATGACAACTGAAAGAATTCCCCCAATAATAGCGACGGGCAAGAAAAAGTTTGAAACACTTGCTACAATTTCATCATAGCACCCAACACCAGCAAACGTGTCCACCCCACACCGCGCACAATTAGCGGTTGGAGAACAATCTGTGACATCGCCGGGGACACTACACTCTTTGCATTCACTGTCATTGAAGCCACGGCATTTATAAAACTCCTCGAGTCTGCAGATCTGATCGGGGTCCGCAGTGACTGTGCTCTGCCATGCATCTTCGAGAAAGTCTCTCGTGACTTCCGTATTTCCTCTGGCGCGGATAACAGCGGAGAGCGCGGTGATAAAGACGAGGACAACTAGAATAAGGAGGGCCATGACAACGTAGACGACCTTGAAACACGACCCGACACATTTGCGCGAGAGGGCGATGAGACTAGAGATGGCGGCGACAATGAGGAAGACACCGACGATCATGCCCGCGACACCAAAGTTGAGAACAAACTTCCAGAAGGTGTCGTCGTTGTACACGAGGTCATGCGGGCCAGCGTTGTCAGTCACTTGGAGCCATATTCCAGTGCCGACTAGCACGCCGCCTGCGACGAGCATCAGGACGGCGACAACAGCATGGAATATGCGTACGAAGCGGTTCTTCTCGTGGATGGCCATCGTGGTGTATGTGAGTGTGGGGCAAAGACGGCGGCGATTCGAGTGAAGCAGTTAAGGGGAAAGCGAAACGGAAGTAGCGGAGACAATGCGGTATCCAAGTTTGAATGGAAGTTCGAGTTCAAGTGGGGGAACAGTCTTAAGGCGCTGCAGACAACGAAGGCATTATATATGGAAATACTGTATATGTTTACAGGGACGTGCCAAGGCTTGTAGGGAATGGCCTCTGTAGGAGATAGTGGGTTGTGGAGTCGTTCGGTCTGTATGCCAAGTGAGAAATTTTTGCTGCCCAAACGCACACCTCAGAGAGATTTTTTTGCTGCACATCTACTGGTGCTGGCACCAGTAGATACTGGCACCAGTAGATTGTTGCCAGCAACAATCCTTCAGAAGTATTCCCTCGTTGTACTGTGGTGGCACCAAACATTGCTGGTTCTACTCGTTAATCACAGCGACCAATGGAAATCGACCAATGAAAATCAACCAATGAAAATAGACCAATGAAAATCGTCCAATTCAGTGTAGCACCGGGACAGGGGACATGTCTTGCGGTGGCAAAAGCCGCATCCTTGCTGGAGCCCTTTTGTTAAAAAAAACAAAAAAACAGTGTACAGTATGCCTCCCGAAGGCACAACTTTCTTGCGGCGCTTAGTGTGACGTCACTAGAGGTCGATCCTATTCCACATCCAAGGGGGACGGTTCCTGCTACAAAATAATAATCAAAAATAAGACTGTTTACTGTACATACACACAGTCCCTAAACCCTCTGCGCGAAAAAGCCAATGTGATCGCCCCCATGTCATCAAAACTGCTGCTGCCACTTAATACTACTGTAATAATAGTTGTGGACTGCATCCACGTCATCGACAGCAGGAGTCATCACACAACAGTTCGACCTTTTCACGCACTAAGGGTGACCCCACCGCCAACAAAATTTCAGTCCTAAAATTCCAACTACTAAAGTTTGGACCGATGGATTAAAGTTTGGACCGATGGAAGAGATTTTGAACCCCACCGCGCCAGCATTTGTCCTAAAGTTTAGAATTTGGGAAGGATTCTTTTCCAAACCAAAATTATTTGGTCGAGATTTTTGTCCAAAGCGCCGTTTGGGCGAGCTTCGTTCTATAGTAACGGTACAGAAAACATCTGAATTTCATGTGCTTACAACTCTACCAAAGCTCTTCCAAATGGCTTTGGGGCTGTTTTGACTGAAGTCCCATCAATAGTGTGGGACGCAAAAAGGAGTGTTGTGCAGCCTTCGCTCGTGGACATTTCCCATCTTCTCCCTCCTTCTCGTCTTCTGAGAAGTGCAGGCAATGGCTGAGGTGGTTACTAGGACTGATGACTCGGCAGTAAGAGTGAGGAAAAAGGATAAGGGACTGGGGTGGTCAGACGAGGAGAATCTTGTCCTGTGCGTTGCTGAGAGCGCAGTGTCTGAGAACGCCGCGAATTGAAAGCGTGGTGTACTTGCCGAGTTGATAATTCCCAAACAGGAGCCTACATATTATGGAGAGCGGGCAAGTGGCGAGCAAAAGTTGCCGCCAATTGTGGAACAGACGCGTGCAGTAGCTTGCGTCTTTGCGCCAAATGTATTTCTACGACATACTTGTAGCCTAATTGGGGTGACCCTGAATATGATAGATGTATCGTGTTACAGGCACGGTGGGGTTCATCTCTGAATCACCACCTCCCCCAAAGCGCGGCTTGATTAAAAGATAGTAGATCCAATTACCGGAGGACAACTGTCTGCTTTTTGCGATTTTGGGCAAGGCGCGGTGGGGTCCTAAGTGCTGTACAATCTGTTGCAGATCTCGGTAAAGCTTTTCTGCGGAGACTCTGCGTATTGTTTTATATAGTTGAAACAAATAGTTATCCTCATTGTTGTGGCACCCATGCTATCCGCCTCGCTCCGGAGCCTAAGCACTGCACACTCACGAAGAATCCGGAGTTTGCATAAAGTCTGCCGACAGAAAAGATTGTGGATACCCCATATTACTACATTAGAACAACTTCTCCTTCATACAACCTTAGCGCTGAAGTGGCTACACACCGAATGACGCCACTTCGAGGAGCAGACCAGAAAGCCATTTTCGTCTTTCTTCTACGGTCCAGGCCTCAAGGACAGCAGTTCAGGATTAGACGGCGTATGAAATATTCCACCTCAATACGTTTGCTCTTTGTCCATGTTTAGGGCAGCAGGGATTGTGCTGTAATTGAGAGTAGGAGCTATTGATGTTTATACGTGTACATCTTCAATGAATTTGCAAGAATTAATCAACCATCAAAACTCGATCTCAAAAGCACTGCTGCGAGAATGAGAATAGCCGCCTGCACACATGGCCTATGGCAGATGATCCAGGCCAAACAAATCGCACTCGCTGGGAGGCGACTCCGTACAAGGATACTATTGGAGCATTTGGTTCACTATGAGATGGCAGTAAAATAGCCGTTTTATTGTATCTGCATCACTGCATCATGATTCCATCGATACCAGCCATTGTATCTGGAATTATGGAAACCATAGGATGAGTCATGCCCCTTGCGAAGAAAGTGCTGCCCCAAATGAGAAGTGGGGATGGAGCCTTAGTGAGAATGTCATCTAAGGAGGATCATTGGCGGAATTCTGCATTGGATAGAGTTGTCATGTCTCGTTGAGAATGGCTCCTCGCGCCGTAGTAGTAAGAAGAACACTTGTTGTACTACATACAATTTTAGATGTCAAACCATCCTAATATGTCAGATAAGTGTAAGATGCCTTCCTATACAAGTAACAATCTCTCTCGATTTGTAGTTTCTATCCCGGACCAAGCTGAATCTTTTGTCGACGACGTGGATATCGACGAATTGCCGCGTTGAAGTAGGGGTCGATTTTTACGCACTGGATCTGGATTAGGCCTTCCTCTTTCCTTCCTCACAAGGGTGCCAACTATGTGGACCCCTACTTGAACTCATACGCACCGTGTAGTGGAGCCTCGTCTTTGTTGAGGACATGCTCATGTTTAAATGATATTGCCACGTCAATGAAAAAAAAGTTCACCTTGGCAGTCTTTCAATACGACATACTATATCAGACAAATTATATATATACTATATGTATAGATCATGCCCATCCCATCTGTTACAAACTGTTCAAGATGACAAAATCTAAAACGGTTTTGAGGGCCCAGAAATATGCTTTCGATGTTTTGGAAAGGAGGCAGATTCACAACTGGTGTTGGATTCTTTGGAGAACAACAAAATGGATAGCCCACCCGGATCAGTATGTTGACTATTCGATCTGAAATTTCCCTCTACTCTACTCTTTTCGTCTTGTATTATTGCTTCTGCGTTTCTGGCTAAATCTTTAAGAATGGGCTTGAAGGAAAGCATGGTGGGAAATAATGTACACTTGAGTATCTCTTCAGAGTTATTCTTTACAGATAGAGGAACCAATATAAGAAGCACAGTAGAGGAGCTCTCAGGCGGAAAATCTTGATCACAAAGTGTTACGCTGAACATTCGAGAGGAGGGGCAGAGAAGTGCCGAGCCATGGCGGCGAACTTGCGAAAACCATATTTAGGCTCCAATTATATAACTGGTAATCTTATCTCAGTAGCTGGAAATTCGCTAATACCGCGTAAAGAGGCTTGATGTGAGTCCGATAGATGGTTTGCCTTCATTCTGCTACACTCTGCAGTTTTGTTTCACTGCCCTAGAAAACTAGGCTTTCAAACGGGTTTTCATAAGTTTTCTAGCGGCGATGTCTGCAAGAAGTGGTTCTATCTCTTGGCGTCTGTGGAGCTGGGAATCTATGTAGCGTGACATGTAAAGAAGAATTGCGGTTCTCAGAATTCTACAAAAGTGTATCTCAGACTTATCATACACTTGAAACGTCTGCAAGGGACCCCTGCAAGAAGGGAAGAGATGGAAACCCTGAAGACTTGGAAGTATGATTACGCGAAAATGCATGTACTGTAAAGTGCAGCTTTCTTGTATTGAGTAAAAACAATTACGTTTCTTGTTTTCTCAATAGCTGTGATGTCATTCAGATTTCGCAGATTTAAAGGTTTTCCTTATAAATTCAGCCCACCCGCCAAAAAATGTGCTTGACTTCATGGACGTCGGTTCCAGTCAGTTGCGAGACGGGGCCCAGGCTGGCACTGTCTACCGAGCAGGTACAGGGCTTTCAGCGGAGCAGATCTTCTTTACCCGCGATAGACATTTTGAGTCTGACAATTCCAGAAATCACGTGGGTGCGATGCAGCGGGCCGCCACGCAGGGGTGTCTCTTTATCGCTGTCCTAAGCCTGGCGTATTGCTGCGCTGCGGCTGAAAAGCACAGAGTTTTGCGAACTGCAGAGACATCGAAAGAGACCTTAACCATCAAGAACAAATTGGCCACAGCGGAGGGCCGTGTCACGGATCTAATTTCCCGCTTGGACTCCGTATCCGATGACGCTTCGCGCGCTAAAAACGAGATCCATACTACCCTCATGGAGGTGTGGCAGGTTGTAGATCTTCTCGGTAAGGACCGATGCGGAGAGGTGGTTGACAAAGTCCGCGTTGCACAGAAGAAGGCGGAAAACAAGGCCACAGAACAAGAGGAAGAAATCCGTGAGCATTTGAAGTCGATTGAAAATCTCAAGCTTCAGCTCGCAAAGGACGGCGATTCTGTCAACTCGCTTCAAACTGAAATCAAGGCAGAGCGATCGCGAAGGGAGGTCCTGGAAACAGAAGCTCGCGATCTTCGCGATAAACTACACTGGGCTTCAGCTGTTTCGAATGAGACGGAGAAATACGAGCTTGTAGCAGAAAGGCTTCAGAGATTACTCGTTGTCGTCACAGAGCGCACGAATCTTCTCAACCGCATTTTGACGATGGTAGGTGACGCGCACAATGGCTTTTCGGAATGGCGGAAAGAAATCAGCAGTTTGTCCACAGTTGTGCGTGACGCGGAGCGTGATTTTTCGGGCGGGTACCAGAGCGCCGCTGTCGAGGGGTTGCGTCGACACACTATTGACCTCGAAAACCGGCTTTCACAAGCGTTGAAGGGAAGAGACACGCTCTCTGACGAAAGGACGGTTCTTCGCCGATCTATCGAGGCCCTGCAGAAAAAGATTTCATCAGCAGGCGGGATCATGGGTGGGACTGGAAAGTCGGAACGAGAGAGAATTGTGGTTCAGACCGACAGTGGGACGAGTATGCTGGGTGTGGTAACTCTCTGTTTAATTTCGGTATGCACTGGCGCGGTTGCTGTTTTCCTCCTGTCCTCACAGCGTGGTTCTTCGAATGCGACGCAAACCGCAGAGAAGTATGGATTTACGCCCACTTCAGCGTCGCGGACATCGCCAGGGTTCCCCTCAGGTGGGCCAAGCCCTTTACAGTACGCCAACCCAGGTAGCGCGTCGAGGACACCAGGATCCCGGGGGAGCACGCCGAGGAGATATTGATGTACTCGTCAAGTTTGAGGAGAGAAGGCGCAGTCTTGCGGCATGCGCAACGATGGAGCATCTATGTATTGCACTGAAACGTTAGCACAGTTTTGCTGCTGATGTGCTCAGCTTTAAAAGAACAACGATACGCCGAGACAACTGCACAAACGACAAGCTGTTGCCATCACCGGCTAATACGCATCTCACCAAGGTCACATATTTCACCCAAACCATAAACTGTGTAGAAAGTATGACTGACTAGGCTTTATGACGAAACGAAATGCTACAGCAACGCTTATCCCAACCTCCACTATGGCGTAAAGGCCTGATTCCCGAAACCGGGAGCCTTGGTGGGCACTGGGCGATTGATCCTCTTGTACTCGGTATCACCGTGGGTCTTTCTCGGCACCTTCGAAAGGATATCGGTGAGGTTTCCCTGCGAGGACGTGGCGTTTCCAAGGCCGCCGGCTTCATAGTCTTTGCGCAGGTCGCCCGACACCTTTCGTGAGGGCACCTTGCCCATGTAGGCGGGCTCCTTACTTTTCACACCCCCTGAAACGCCCGCGGCACGCTGGCGGGCGAGTTTGGCCCCATTGCCGGCGTCCTCGGGTACAGACACGCCCTGGCGAGCGAGGATGTTGCTCCGCAATACCAAGGCGCGGTGCGCCTCGCCGGCCGCTTTCAAGAGCACCGGAGCCGCGCAGGCACCGGACGCTACTGCTGCTAGTCCGAACATTTTCGCTTGCAGTTTGTCTCTGAACGTCGTACGGAAGTGAGAGGTTGCCGGAGCGCTGGTGGCGTGCTGGCAGAGTGGGAAACGGAAGGTGTGGCAGCGCTTGGCACGAGTGATTGCGGCAGGGATGCGAGGCGAGAAGGGTTTTCCAAATCTGTATCCGCAGGCATATGTAGGGAGCTGCTCACGAGCTCCGAACTAGCAGCTCAGCATCGTTATCGAATCAGATCGTGACACCTGGCACTATTTGTCGAAGGTCTTCTTCCTGGCGGGATACTATGATACCACATGCATGACCAGAGCAGACCCCTCCCATTAATTCCCTGCGGTCACATTTGCGCACAGCTTGTTCGGAGAGGCACCGGCAACGTCAGTGGCTTGAGCATACGACGCAGTAAATCCAGTGCTGTACCGTATTTGGTATTAAGTTGACAATAAAACCACAAAATGCATAGAGAGTTTAAGCAAGACGTGCAAGGTATCAAGGCAATCAGAGCAAATTCGCGGCGCAGTCCTTGGCGCCTGTGAAGTGGATGCTCTTCCCTGCCGCACATCACGACATTCGGAAAAGCACCTTCAGCACTCCCCTCTCGCCCGCCCGTCGGAACGCCTTGTCCGCGTCGCTCATACTGTACACTTCCTCGATCAGCAGCCTCGGATCAAAGCTCCCGCTCTCCATCAAATTCAGCGCGACTGGAAACGGCCCGCACCTACTCCCTAGCAACGTAACCTCATTGACCACCAACGGCGTGAGATCCACCGTCTCCTCACTCCCCGCTGCCGTCGTGCTTTTCAGCACGATAGTACCGCGCGGCTTCACCATCTGCAAAGCCAGCGCCAGCCCACTAGACGCGCCGGTGCAATCCACCACCACTGGAAACTTCGCCTCCCCGTCCCCCAGTCCCTCCCCGACCAATTCCAACCTCACTCCGAATTCCTTGCTCAGCTTTTCCGTCTTCGCCATCCGTACATCATCCGTCTGCTTCCGTGCCATCATAACCGGCTGATACCCGCACACCGCCAGCATCCCAGCCACGAGCCACCCCAGCCTCCCCGCCCCTAACACTGCGACCGGCTCGTCCCTTGCTGGATTCGTCTGGTGCAGGACCTGGCACGCCGCCGCGAGCGGCTCTGCAAACACCGCCATCTCGTCTGGTACTTCGTCCGGTACCTTGTGCACATTGATTGCCGGTACCGTCACGAGCTCGGCAAACGCTCCGGGCCGCCCGAAGATGCCGAGCGCCGTCCGGTCAGGGTCGTGCGCCCGCTCGGAAGCCAGGCGCGAGGGCGACTCGTGCGCCACGCAGTTGATCTCCGCGACGACGCGCGTGCCGCGAGGGAGCTGGAGCAAGCGATCGACTGCGGCCCCATATGATTCAATAACCCCCACGAACTCGTGGCCCAGGACTTGAGGGGCGTGTAGAGGCTTGTAACCGGAGAGCATCTCCAGGTCCGTGCCGCAAATACCCGCCAGCTGGATCCGGATTAGGGCTTCGTGGGGGGCGGGTTGAGGGATTGGGTAAGTAGAAGTTAGGGAGAGGGAACGGGCGCCGGAAGGGTTGGGGATTATAGTTATAGCCTGCATCGTGAAGGTCAGTGGTTGATGTCAAAGGGTTGCAAAGGTGTGCGAGCGACTTAGCAAGGCTTGGATATCAGCCGCTATAATGGCTCAGATCGCTGATTCAATTCATAGTGATGGGGACTGGATGAATTGCAAGCATAGATATAGCCTCAAGGACATTCTGTCACAGAGGAAGGTAATATACATAACCGGTGCGCACAAAGCAGGAGGAAGAGGAAAGGATCACAGGCTCAAACAGGAGCTCGACGAGGACAACTTGGCGACTTAATACAGTATGTACATACAGTACATATGTTCAACATGAACACGTTTTCAGCTCCATGCATGAAATTTTTATGGAATTAAGGTGGTCAATCATCTTTGCCGTTCAATTTGACCGCTGCTGCCCGTGTCCGGCAGGAGCTTTTTCGCAAACAGACAATGACACTCCTGCAGTTCCCCTGCGACCATGTCCATGTGACCATCCACTGACCTTACACACCCTGTCCTTATCTGCCACATCTCAACTTCTTCAAACACGTCTCTATCGCATTTGCTCACGTCCCTGTCTCGGGCTGCGATTGCAAGAAACCTGTTTCAGCCGACATTTTCGACGGTGCACACCATTCAGTTCCTCGCAGAACAGAGCTCACTCGGTGTCCGATCCTTCTCCCCCCAATTGTGGCATTTCCACAAACTTTCAGCTGCACCTAAACCCCTTGCCACTGACCCTCTACCCAAGCTTTCGCGCCACGTGCGCCTCACCAAACCACTATGGTGTTAGAAAGTCTCGGCGGCCGGATCACCGGCGCGCTGCGCAAAATGACAAACTCTACTGTCATCGACGAGGAAGCCCTAAAGGAGATGCTTAAGGAAATCGCTCACGCTCTGCTCGAGGCGGATGTCAACATTAAGAGCGTCGTAGAGCTGCGCAAGAACGTTACTAACCGCGTCAACCTCGAAGAGCTCGCTGCAGGTGTCAACAAGCGAAAGCTGATTCAAAAGGCTGTTTTCGATGAGCTATGCTCTATGCTTGACCCAGGCACTAAACCAGTGCAAATGAAGAGAGGGAAGCCGAACGTTGTCATGTTTGTGGGCTTGCAGGGGAATGGAAAGACTACGTCCTGCGTCAAATATGCGTATTACCATCAACGGAAGGGGTGGAAGGCGTGCCTAGTATGTGCAGATACCTTCCGAGCAGGTGCCTTTGATCAACTCAAGCAGAGTGCCACGAAAGCAAAGGTACCGTTTTACGGTTCGTACACAGAGACCGACCCAGTCAAGATTGCGGCTGACGGCGTTGATCGCTTCCGGAACGAAGGATATGACTTGATCATTGTCGATACATCGGGAAGGCACAAGCAAGAGGATTCACTTTTTGCGGAGATGGAACAAATGGCACAGGCCGTGGACCCGAACGATATAATTTTCGTCATGGATTCGGCTATTGGGCAAGCCGCCCATGACCAGGCTCAAGCCTTTAAGAGCAAGGTGAAAGTTGGGTCTGTCATTATCACCAAGCTTGATGGTCATGCCAAAGGTGGTGGTGCACTTTCGGCCGTGTCAGCGACGGAATCACCGATTACGTTTATCGGGACTGGCGAACATATTGATGAATTTGAACCATTTAATACCCAAAACTTCGTTGGCAGACTTCTGGGTATGGGTGATGTGTCAGGCTTGGTGAATACTATCAAAGAAGCTGGCTTGCATGAGAATGTCGAAATGGTGAAGCGCATTACGGAGGGCATTTTCACCTTACGCGACATGTACGATCAATTCGATTCCCTTGCCAAACTGGGGCCACTGAACAAAGTTATGGGAATGCTTCCGGGCATGTCTGAAATGATGCAGAACGCGAAGGGCGTTGACGGTTCAGTCCGAATTAAGCGATTCCAACACATCATGGATTCCATGACAGTAGACGAGATGGAGAACCCCAAAATGAACTTCACTCAGAGCCGGAAAGAGCGCATTGCCCGGGGATGTGGTCGACATCCGCAAGAAGTTGAGGAGCTACTCATGGAATACAAGAGATTCTCGAAGGTTGTAGGGAAGGTGGGCAAGATGTCCAAAAAGAATATGAACATTGACCAGCTCTCGCGAAATACGTCTCAAACGTTCCAACAATTTATGGATCCAAGGATGATGGCACAATTTGGAGGGGCTGGGGGTATGCAGAAAATGATGAAGGAGTTGTCCAAGTCTATGGACGGAAAGGGTTTGGGCGCACTTGGGTTTGGTGGAAGATAACATGTGTCGTGCAGCTGTGATGTCCCATGATTGTGAAGAAATAACATATTTGGAGTTTTGAGATGGACATACAAGGAGTTTGATTTTTATCTGAATGTTCGAACACTGTTTGTCGGAGTTACGGGCGTGGTGAACGCCCCATTGGGGATGTACCCTGTTTCCGCACATTCCTTTGAGAGTATCGCGATGCGTTGGAAGGGGCACAAAAAGCATTGTGATTAGCGTCGTTCGGGGTTATTCTCTTTCAGCCTTATCGCTATCCTCGATCTCTCCCCTTTCCCCCTCTCGATGCATACCCAGAAGCTTGGGAGGGAACTGTCCCTACCAATAGAGCATCCATTAAGTTCGTGAGCTCTTCGTTCAGTTTTAACTGCATCCTCGTGTCATCTTCTAATCTATTTTGCCGGATCTTGTTCTTCGTCCGTGATCGGTGTGCAGCTTCACGGTTACGTTCGGCGCGAAGCAGTTTGGATTTTTCGGAAATCGAGATGGCGCCACAGTCTTGACCAACGTTTTCAAAATCCCTATGCTTCTGTGGATCTTTGCCAGCTGGTCTTGTCAATCCCGCACCGGCTGATGAAGCGGTACCGCGACTTGAATTGCTTTGCTCAGAACGTCTTCCGCCTGAGGTTTTTCGTGTGGGACTCATATCCTTCCCGTGTGTGTATATACAGGAAGGAAATGCGCGAAATTTAGGGATACTCCTTGTTTCTAGAATACCGCAGATGTTCCAATCTTCTGAAAATTGTCGTTGAGGTCAAGTTGATGTCAATCGTTTGGACACAGGTAGGAGGTCAAACGCTAAATTTTTTGATCCTGAGCGATCTATATAACGCAATAGTCCTGCCAATACAAACAAATCAGTACTCCTGGTGTGACTTTCCGCAGTTAACAAGCGTCGCAATTCCATGGGAAAAAACGTGTTGTAGCCGGTAAAGAGACAAAAACGTTTGCGACAGCCTGAGCCGACCTTACAAACCGGCCCTAGTCTAGCTTGGATATGCTTCTACCGACTTCGTGATGGCGAAGATATCACTCACTGTACAGTACTGACAAAAGAAGGAGGACGTCCTTTTAAAGCGAAACCGTGTACGTGTTAATGTTTGAATGTGCTGTACTGAACAGTACTGTACAAGCCTGCGTACAGGCCTGTGGTCATCCAGATTCAGGTCACGTGAGGAATACAGATCCACACAAAATGACCCGTATCAGCAACAGGCATCGCTCCTCACGCGAAAAGACGCTGCAAATTTATGTCTCTACTTATTAGTTCATCAAAGGTAAATAAGAGTTACACATTTGCCGTACCGTTTTGCAGTTTATTTTTAGTGCCGGAGAAATCTTCAAGAGTGCGATCGATCACGTACTGTACACGTACATTACACGTACTGTACGTCCTCGATCTTTTGGATTTTCTCCTATTTATTGGCTGGGCGATGTTGTATTACGTACGCAAGTCGAACATTTTCGCTATATTCCTCGATCCCTCCTGGACTTCACAGGCATCCTTGAACCCAGGGACTTTTTCCTGTACTTCCGAAATTCTTTATTGTGGATGGGTGAACTTTCAGTGCCTTTTTTACTGCATCAATTACCCAGACACGGTACCGATCAATGAAGAAGTTGTTTCTATAAAATGCTTCTGACGGTTTCTACCACAGGAGTTATAATAGCGGATAATTAAATATCTCTCGCGTATCGTTGTTCCGCTCGTGTCGCTTCCATCGAATCATTTTCTTTGAAAGGCGCCACGGCAAATGATCAACTCAAAACAAATAAAACCACAATATTTCAATAAACTCAACCGCCGCGGTGAGGGTGAGTCATGTTCCTAACGTCTGGCGCTCAGTCAGCTGAAGTTTAAACGATACCAGTGAGTATACAGTATTGCACATGAACTGACTTCGAGAGATGATACGAGACGCACGTCCACAAGATGACCATATTTTGTGCTCCAGATTCTATTCTTTTTCTGCAGCATCAAGTTATGACAGGAAACGCTTTTGTCGATTACATGAAGAAGAAATCACCACCATTATCGGTTGTCCATACTCTTGTCCGACACAAGAATAGTGGGACCAAAACTGCATCTGTCGGACCTCTGAAGTTGGTGCGCTGCGCTGCAAAAAAGAAGTTGTCTTTTGCTATGTCATAAAATAGCCATGATGTCCTGCTTCAGCAGAGACTTTTCTTTTCCCCGCCAAATTTGGCGAGTGTTTTATACCTATACCTGCGGAAGTGTGGGGGGAAGGAGTGTGTTATCTCGAGATACGGTGCAGAATGTATTGCAATTGCAAATGATGCAGACTGGAATGGAATCGTGCATAAACTATGACGTCCTCTGGTCTCGCGTGGACGCAAAGTTGGGCTTAGAGCATTTTGAAGACTCTAAACACTGCTGTCTCCTCTTGAAGTGATGACAAAAAAAAAAAACGTATTGATAAAACTTTCGACTGTATGTACTCACTTACATTGCAGACCTTTTTCAATTTGGTCTTGCGAGCATGTACAGTAGGGAGACTCCTAGTTGTTGTCAAAGTTAGGTACCATTAAGCATTTGGACAATATCTGCTTGCCAAACACACTACTCCCTGTCATCGACAGCACCATCGCGCGTATCGTACGCACGAAGCTTTACGCCATTTTGTAAAGACCTGCCCAAAAAAATGCGAAAATAAATTTCATGTTGCCCCATGTCCAGGTGTACACGTAAACAGTCTATCTTTCGCAAGATGTGTGCCCCATGTCTGATGTACAGTAATACGCCCTACGGGCCTGTGCAATCTGCTCAACCAACATACTTGTAGAGCATGCAAACCCCACGCACCTAGGCGTTGCATTCTAAGAACCCGCAGGAAGAGCAGGCGTCAACTCAATGCGTCTTGCCTTGTCACCTCATCTGAAAGACTGACCTGAAACCATACTCAGGTGGAATCGTACTGGTGGTCTACATGGTCACACGGCGGGTCGCACGGGGGGTGAAGCGTCTAGTCCCACGTCTACTGGCGACACGGCATTCTTCAGTTTCCAGGACATGGCAGCCCTCTGTATTTCAATTTCTTACGACATGTCGCTCCCGCGGACTCACTTCTCTCTCTCATGATCGCATATCTTTCTTGACTTGCGAACGACGGAGGTGGCGACAGGAGACGGCGATTGGCCAAAAGCGACAAACAGGCACTGCGACTGCATCTGAAGTGTCAAAACCATCTGCTATTGAAGAGCTCTCTGGACGCGATCTCGTGCTTTCTCCGCCGGCTCTAGTAGTAACACGAGAATATGAATGGGCAAATATTCTCGTTGGCTTCGAGCAAGCAAATAAATACACAATCCGAGCAGCCCCTGGGGGGCAAGTGGTCGGGTACCTCGCTGAGGTAAGTATCATTTTCTTGTACCAACCTGTGCGGCCCATGCCTTTGTGATGTGCATGTGGATTGTCACAAAAAGTCAATCCTAACTTGCAACTTTTTGTTTCCATCTTCAACAAAAGCAATCTGTTGGGCGTGCAATAACCAGAAATATTCTCAAGACTCGTCGCCCATTTAAAGCGACAGTTTTCGACAAGAACCAGCAGGAAATATTTATCGTTCGGAGGCCAATGTTCCTGGTTTCTTCTTCAGTCCATGTAGAAACACCAGAGGGCGAACGCATTGGGGAGGTGAACATGAACTGGCATATGTGGAGACGTCGATATTCTCTTTACGTCCAGAAAGAGCAGTTCGCGGAGGTCAATTCAGGATTTCTTGCTGTTGACTTTGACATGCGAGATATGGATGGGAAAAAGATGGCCTCTGTTAACAAAGATTTCACTGGGTTTGCGAGGGAGCTCTTCACAGATGCGAGGCAGTATGTCTTGCGAATGGATCCTTCATATGGGCTGAGCCATGACGCTAATCTTGTGAATGATGCGAACACGATTAACCTCGGTCAAGAAGAGTACAGTGATACCAAAATGGGGCAGCGTGAACGGGCTGTTGTTCTGGCTGCGGCGCTTGCTATTGACTTTGGTATGTTTCTTTCAAAAAAATCAAGTGGATGGCTTGACGTTCAAGCGGCTTTGTCTCTCATTGTCGAAGTAAGACTCATCGATACTAACTGTTTGTTACCGCCATGTTTATTTTTCTTTTCCGCATGTGCGCGAATGGTTGCGCTTTCCTGACGTATTAACAGATTACTTCAGCTTGCACAGTCGGGGCCCCATGCACCCAGGTCTTATGGCTGTCCCAGGCGGTGGAGCCAGTCCAGCACCAGGGGCCCCTGGCGCTGGTGGGGCAGGGGCTGCCGTCGGGGCTGACGTTCTATCACAAAGGGGAGAGGCAGATGAAGGCAGTGCGGATCCCGATCCATACGCCGTGCCACTGAACGAGGAAGAATCTTTTCCGCCGCAGGGTGATAGCGGATTCTCACAACCAACCAACGACGATGGACCATCAGGGGAAGGCTCGGAGTGGGCGACGTTCGAGGAGCCTGATCACGGCTTCCAGGAACCTTTTGCAGATGACAGCGCTTGGTCAGGCGATGACGAGGGATTCAGCAGCGACTTAGGTGGCATAGCTGATGGTGACGGAGAGGGGGGGCGTGGCTTAATCGGTTCAATCATGGACATTTTCTTCGATAACGACTGAGGACAGGTAGAAGGAAAGTAGGGCAATTACGACATTCCGCCAATCCTGAGAATATCAATCATGTTGAAGAGACGGGTTGAATCTCCCTTCTCTTTTTGCTTGTCCAAGAACTGAACGGCATCTACAGTTCCGGCCGCGTACACTCCCCGTCCGCAAACGTTATGCTGAAATTCGAAATTGACGGAACCATCTGGGCTGGTCAAGTGGTAGGTGTGAAATGCATGGCCAGCTGTGATATACTCCTCAGGAACCTGCATCTCGCGCATGGATCGGGACGCCTCCCGTACTTTTTCAATATCTTCTACATCGAAATCCAACCCCAAGCGGGAGAATGAATTAACGACAGCTTTTGCAGTGCCAGAGGTATCGGCCTTTGTTGCTTGGTGAGATTCTTTAACCGTTATCTTGTAACCTTTGAAGGCACCTGGGAACTCGTTGGCCATCATATCCATCATGGCCTGGAAGGCGACTATCTGTTTCCCCATATTGGGTGCAATCACAGCGTAAACGTCGCTAGACTTGTCCACAGCTTTCTTCATATCGTCTACATTGCCACCTGTAGTACCGATAACAAAACTCAAGCCCGCCTTTGCGTAGTTTTCTACGTTTGGATTAGCGGCGGAGGGATGGGTGTAATCCACCACAATAAGGCGAGGATATTTGTCTTTCATCCTCTTGAGACACGCAGTATGATCTTCGGGAGTCGATAATGATACCTTTGAACCGCCAGCCTCGAAATGCGAGTTTGCAACGCCGGGACCCGTTAACGCTTCGTCCGCCAAAACCAAGCCGCGACGTACGACTTCCTCCGCAGTAGCAGCGGCCATGTTACCTGGCACGCCATTCACCATTACGGCGAGATCAACCGCCATCTGGATTGTTACCAGCACTGCTCTTCTTTGCGTGGACCGGGCGCGATCGGGACTGCGCTGTAACTGGGGGGAAGTAAAGGAAGAGGTTGCGAGTCGCGGGTTGAAGCGCTGAGTCGGTGAGGCTAGAGCGGGAGCAAGGCTGAAGGCCACAACGGAATTTGCGATCGGCATCTGGAATGGCTTGCGGTGGGATTGGCTGTAGACAGGCTTGAGGTTTGTCTTGGGGAGCAAGAAGAGAGGTCTCGCCGAGTTGTGGTTGACTGTTCCGTCCTCATGAGCCGATGACGTGGTGCCCCTTGGATCATCCAATGTCGTTGGGATCGGGGTTGAACGGGTGAGAAATGTCAAAAATATTAAAACAATTGTTCAGGATCGCTCAGTCTCCATCTACACGTGTATAAATGTGTCACGCCGGCGGTTTGAGCTCCAACCTCCCGCAATTCCGACAATCCCTAAACCCTCGAGTAGGTTCACCATAGCAGAGGCTTTCGCTTGGAAGCCAACTGCCCTCTTTATTCGTTGAGCGTCCCATTTAAGAGATTGCGTACGTCCTCGGAGATGGAATAGCCACGAAGAAAAACCAGGAGAGAGTCGGGCCACGCTTTCCCCCTCTACAGTCGAGGGATATCTCGTGCAGCACTTCTGCAGTTGCTTCGGCTTGGCTCGCATTTTTATCTTATCTGATGTCGATGCGGCCTGTAAGTAATTTTGTACCGCCGTTAAGTCTTGTAAGAACTAGACGAAAGTTGTCGCAACAAAGAAACCGATGCGGAACAAAATCAGCCCTGCTCGATACTTCCTCAAAACCTCGCGTTGTCGTATTGCCAGGTATGTAGCCAACTGTTACCTCAACTCCTGCATGCAACGCAAATGCAATTCTGCATGCTTTGTGAACTAACTACGCCAACCCTTTAATATCGAACAGGCATGGATGGAAGTGAGTTGATGTTAAACAGCTTTCGAAATGCTATCTGCAGCGACAACGACATAAAACGGGTGATTGGGGTCCAGTACCCAGAGGACGAGGAATTATCTGTACCTGAGCTTGCCGACTTTGTCTCCACGCAATACCTTTCCCTTCTCAGGAATGACTCACGCGGCTATGTCGTCGTCAGTCAAAGCTTCTCCGGTCACGTTGGCATGAATCTTGCGCATCATCACACCCCTGGCCAAATGATCGGTCAGGTCTTTGTTAACGCGTTTGCGTCGCCACCCGGTCCATCCTGGATACACAACGGGCGACTGCAAGTGCCTGCTAACTTTTTCGAGCGACAACCCCCGCCGTGGATGGTCAGCCGAATGTTCCTGGGTGCTGGCGGTTCAGGCATGCATATTGTGCAAGCCGCTGGCGCCAAAGTGGAGCCGCGTGTTATGAGACAGCGTCTGGACATCTGTTTGGCCCATGACTCGTGGTCCACATGGCGCTGCCCTGACCTTCTGCCAGGAGAAAGCACCTTGTACCTTCGCGGTGAAGCTGACGCAATTGTCGCAAACGAAGCAGCGGAGCGAATGCGTGAGGCGCGGCCGGATATCCTTTGGGAGCGCGTGCCTGATGGCCCGCACCTTCTTTTGCAGCGGTTCGGCAGACCGGCAGCAAGGGCCGTGCATACGTTTTGTGAGCGCCTTTCGAACCAATAATCCCCGCAGATTACTTCTCTTTCTTCTCTTGGGAAATGGCTCTCGATATTGGTCGCGAGAACGGGGACGGAATGAGCCTGGAAACACGGTTTTGGTAATCACGGTATGAGGGATATTTTTCAGACGAGATGTACTCCGCGAGTGGGGTCGTGATTTGGAAAAGGATAGTATACACCACAGGCCCCATGATCGTCCAGTTGAGAATGCGTTTGCTGGCGGCCACCGAGAAAAGATAGAAGAACCACCAGCCGGTAATTTCACCAAAGTAGTTGGGGTGACGTGACCATGCGAAGAGTCCCGTCTGCCGAAAACCATCCTGTGCCTCGGGAAAGCTAGCCGGCATGCCTTTCTTTCTGCGGTCCTCAGAGGACAGAGAAAGCCACTTTGCTTTTCGACACTGAAAGGTCCATTGTTGATTATCTGCTGCTGTGGCCAGGACGATGCAGCTCATCATGCCAGCCGCGGCAAATGCATCAAGCCATGAGAGCGGTGTTGTCGGTCCGCGCGAGACCCATGCGAAATATAGGGGCGAGGAGACCATTGCTAGAATGATTGTCATGTAGCCACAAATGGTGACGCAGTAGGCGATGTTGAAGAGGAACTTGATTCGGAGAACATTAGCCTGTAGCCAAGTATAGCGATAATCTAAAAAGCCAGGTGAGTAGTAGCCCCTACGCATGGCATTTGCCGTGAGTCGGCTGCCCCAGATAATGAGAAGGCCGCTCATTAGGGATAGGCGTGGATCAACATGTGAATCTGTGCGTCGATCAGAGCTAATCGGAGCGTGGAGAGTGAAGACGAGGGAGAGAATTGGTGGTATAAAGGGCCAGAAGCGGTCATTCCAGGCGTAGGATCTCGACAAGATGGAAAGGACAATTTGCAAAAAGATGAGGATATGGGTAAGCCAGAATGATGTTACGATCGGGTTGAGCGCGATGGCTGTATCTGCGATGTCAGCTAATGACGGCGATGACAGCAATGGAGGGAGGATCCGTGTGGATGCCACCGATATTGTCTGTATGGCGGATAAGAAGTCAAACTGGCTCATTCTGAGAAGCAGGTCGCAGTGATGGCAGTGAATTCTCGAGCTAATGCTTCGAAAGGCACGTGGTGGTATGGAGGGTCGGTCGATGTCGAAGGCAGATATTGCTGGAAGAGGTGTTTGGATGGAACCTGCACGGTAAGTGGCGCGCGGGAGGCCACGAGGCGGAGTCCTTCCGAAATGAGTGAGGTGCGGCACCGATGAACACACTTCGTGGAGGCAACAACGTTCTGTCGAAAGCTATTTCCAATAATTCATCATTGGATGCGGCCACGCTTGATCCCATGTGTTTCCGTAAGCCCCTTTTTGCGCTCGAAAATCGGACAAACCAGTACCGTACGTACCCCACTTGCTTGTTCTCGTCTGCCCCTACCAGCTTTAAGCTCTAGCTATATCCATTGCCAGCCTCGCTGGATATTTCCACCATGGGACACGGATACACGACAGCTCTTCTCGTGTTATGTTTCATTTCAGATAGAAAGTTGTGGTAGCCCGTAAACAGCTGACCCAGAATTCCATGCCGCGTTTGAAACAAAGCACCAGTGCCATTGGAATGCGCCACGCTATGTGACGAATACCCTGCACCCTCCAGCAGCATGTTCCGGCATGTGTAGCAACGGACTCTGCAGTATCTTTGATCGGTTTTCTTGTGCTAGAGCAGAGCGGCTATCCCGAAACCGAGTGAACTGCCGGCAGTGGTCGAGGTTAGCGAAGTCCAATCCTTCACGACATGGAGCCCGAACCAAGTGAAGTTCCTGTTCCCGGGGATCAGTCAGTGTCGATTGAGCCGGATGATCTCGTTGAAAGCGTGGGCGATATGCAGCATGGCCTTGTAGTCGTCCCGAATGAAGACGTCTTGCACAAGGCTTCTGTCACTCTCGAACAAGAAGAACCAGAGTCCGCCGACATTATCGCCGTAGGAAATTCTGAGCACCAGCAGCTGGGTTCCTCGGAAATCAAAGTCGCTAATTCGCCTTACGTAGTTCCTGATCCACGCCCGTCCACGATTGTACCTGTAGCAATGGATTCCGATGCTGGTGACGCGGACAAGCTTGAAGCCAAGATTCAACACATATCTATCGATGGGGCAGCTAGTCAGGGTGCAGAAATCGACCGAGATGCAAAAATGGAGATTGAACGCAGTCCCGTGCTGGACTTGACTGATTCCTCAGATGGCAATATCGAAGCCGACGTCGGCGTGGCCCAAATGAAAGAAGTTTGCACTCATTTTTCAGATCCGCGTGAATTGCTGCAAAGCGAAGAAGGTCTTGAAGACGGGGAAACGTGCAGAGTAGTTCGTGGCCATTCACACATCTCTGCTAGCAGCGAAGTCCCTCTTGAATCCTCATACGCCGGGAATGTGGCTGAAGGACGCGTCAATGCAGCAAGTTTGATCGGTGCCACGGAATCAACGACAGCCACGACACTCGCAGGACGGCATTCTGAGGGTCAAGAAGATTCTGCATTGGTCAGTGGCTCTGTTGACGATCAGGAGCCGATAACGAATCCAGGGGTTGCTGCAAACGAAGAAAATGCTTTTGCGGGAAGCGTCCGCGTTCTCGGAGCAACTGAAGACGACGAAATGTCGGGTCAGAATCTGGATGCACCTGTGCTAGATCAAGTCGAAACAGAGCTCGTTGAGGCTCTCACCAAAGCGGATGATTCAGTATTAAACACAGATACTGGAGCGACGATGACACTAGACGGTTTAGCAGAAGGATTTCCCTACGTAGAAAGTGAAACCAGTTGCGACGATATCGCCGTTGGCGACCTTGCATCACGGTCTCCCCCGATAGAGACCTCGATGGTACCGGTGTTGAATGCCATTCCCCAGCCCCTGGAAGAGAATGAAGATGTCATAGCCGGAAATCAGGGTGAAATGAGCGAAGAATTCGACAGGCTCAAAGCTATTCTCCAACCACACGCCGATGCCCATACAGCTAACAATCCTGCATCCGCTGGCGAAGGGGAGTTGTCACTGGATTCGTCAGTAGATACCATGGATGGTGCTGAGACTGAAGACCAATCGGGAGGCGATGCAAGGTCAGTCCATCGCGTGATTACGGAGAACAGTATTGCAGAGGAAGAAATGGACGGCGCAATTGGCCGTCAAGCCTTAGACGAAGGCCCTTTCTCCGTAGAAGAACGCAAAATTCGTCTACAGGAACATTCCACGCAAGCAAGCACAACTTCAATCCCCACAGAAGTTCAGGAAGGTTCTCACAGTCCTCTTTTGTGTGAACTGCAAGTTGAAAAGGATGCGGAAGGTGGACAAGTAAATACCTTGCAAAAGTATGATTGCGGGACTGCGGGGCAAGCTGTAGAAGCCACGAATGTTATGGAGAGTCAAGGAACGGTTCAAAAGGCTGGGGATGCAGATGCTGTAGAAGACAAGGAGATTGCCGACAGTTCGGTCATCGCGGAAGCATCGACAGTATCTGGACCAAAAAACCTCGCCATTGTCGATGTGGGCGATGACTTCGTCGATCTTGAGATTGACAAGCAGATCGAAACGATTGGTGAACGTGTCGAGATGGCTCTTGAGTCTCAAGTTGTTACTGTTTTAGACCCCTCTGAGGTACATAAGGAACTCGAAGCAGCAGTAACCGACGTGAACGTTGAAACGGATGAAGCCGAAGTCGAAAATGGACCGGGCAACATCCGTATCGTAATGAGAGCTGTGAATGACGATAAGGATGTGGAGGCAAATGTTGATGACCCTTCTGTCACAGAGAACGCAGAAGAGCACATATCTGTCATAGATGTGCATGAAAATTCCATGACAGACGTACCTGCGAACACCAGCGAGGCCAACGAAAACGCAGATTCACTCGATCCGGAAGCAGATGCAGAGAGGGCTTCTCAGGTTGTAGGAGATTTAGATCGAGAAGCCCTGATGGACGCGATGAGCCGGGAGACCGAAACTTTGAGAGGCGAAGGCAGTGTAATGCCTGTTCATAGCATTATTTCCGAATCGCAAAGGGAACTGGTCTTGCATGACGATGAGTTAGTCCCGGGTAATCTGAACACAGAAGGGGAGATTGCAGCCTTAGAAGGAAGTGATGTGATTCATGACGGAGCCGCTGCTGCAGAGCATGACCAGGTCATAGAGAATGTCCAACCGAACAGTGAAGATGTTGCTTTACGGGTTCTGGAGTCTGTCAGCGAAGGCCTACATGCTGCAAATGCAGAAGCAACTATAGAGGCTGTTGAGATAAAACAGGACGCCATGCCTGAAGTACCTCCCACAAGCATTGCGTCGCAACTGAAAGAATATCTGATTGAGAACAGCTCGTCTGTAACAGCTTTGTCAGCTTCGCAGATTCTTGCGATGTCAGAAAACACAGGACCAGAAGCGAATGACGAGAATATTGTGTTACAAGGTGAAGGAGCTTTGACTACAGGGATCGCAACAACGCCGACTTTATCTTCTACGGAGAGTGCTATTGCGAGACAGGAACCAACACCGCAAGCAAGTCAAGAGCATGATGTGTCCCTTGCCAAAGAAGATATGATTGCGGACCCCTTGTCGGCACCAACACTCCTAACCATGGAAAGCGATGGTTTAGCAGACGATACAGGACCTAAACCTAGTCATGTAATCGCTGAGCTGCAAACTATTGAAGTTGTGCCCGCGCCCATACATCCAACACCAGCTATGGAGAGAGCGAAAGCGGCATGTACAACTACTTTTGGAACTGGTCTTGAGAAAATCGCATTGGGACATGAGATAAAATCGATTGAAGAGGCACATATTAGTTCTGTGGCTCAACCCACGGAGGTCATTGATGAAGCAGAGGACTCGGCGTCTAGAGACAATGACGGCAGTCTCGCATTGTTAGCAGGGGTAGCTACGGCCATGGACGATATGGCCACACCTGCAGTTCCAGCTTCAGAAAACGAGGACTTGACGAATCGAAGTAGAACCGAAACAACCCACGAGAATATTGCGTTGCGTGTTGGAGATTTTCTGCCCGACAACGCTTCTCTTGCATGTGGCGCTAAATGGGTGGAGCGAGCAGAAAAGGATGTACATGATGGCAGCACTTTGTTGCGCGGCGAAGGGAGCGTGGGTGAGGAGTTTCTCGCGACGCAAGCGGTGCCAAATATGCCGTGTGATGAAACGACACTGGCAGGTGAACCGCAAAACCATGATATGAGAAATATGTCGCCCTGCGGTGCAGCAAGCACAATAGAGGAGGCTCGAACTTTCCCTTCAGTTTCAGGATTACAGGCCGATGAAGTGACGGAAGACGTTGTGACTGCACCACTTGAGGAGACCTTAACGTCACATAGTGAAGACCGCTTTGTTGCTTCGGCCACCACTTCACCAACAGTTCTAACTACGCAGAGCGATATAGAAGCAACGAAAACACAGCCTGAGGTGTATAGCGAAGAATCTGCATCCCATGGTGAAGAAGGAAGGAGTCAGGAGGCTTCGGCTGCATATCCAATAGCAATTGTGGAGCCCCAGGTGGAAGCCGCAAAAGAAACCGAGACGGAATCTTTCGAGGAAAGTGGTGTGTCACACGTCGAAAAGGGTCTGGCCGAGGGGGCTTGGGGCAATTCTTTGATTCCTGGTACCAAGAATCATGATGTTCCACAGAAGACCGAGAACGAGTCACAAGAAGCGGAGAGCGCATCTCCACTTGAAGAATTACAAACTGAGGAAGGGCCGGCTTCTCCTATTTTTCTACCGACGGAGGTCGGTGAAGTAGCAGAAGAAAGTGCGACCACAGCACTAGATGAGGAGAACGCTGAGAGGACTGCACGTGAGGAGGCTCCGGCCACGTGTCCAGATCCGCAAGAAGAGAACTTGAAAGTTGAAGCGGAAACGGAACCAGAAATGCGACATAAGGAAGATACGTTGCGTGGAGAAGAAAGTGTGTGCGGGGATGTACTAGCTACAGGTACACATGCACCCACGAAGGGTGATGAGGTAGTAGCGGAAGCTGTGACCGATCCGCAAGTGGGGCATCTTTCTTCAGTTAATGAGGAAGATGTGGGGGTGGAGACTCCCAGTGCAGCGACGGTCTCATCTACAGAGAACTACCAAATAGTGGAAGGAACCGCACTGCTTGCAAGGGATGTTGCATCACGTGATGACGAAGACTTGAGAAAGCAGGCTTGGACTCGAGCTGCACGTGCAGATACGCAAACCGGTCAAGACGGAGAAGAAACACGGACCAAGCCACTTGAGGGCAACAATGCATCTTCTGCTGACGAAGCTATGATTGAAGAAGCTCCAGACACGCCTGCAGTTCTAGCCGAGGAAAAAGCTATAGCAACAACAGAAACCGGAGCGGAACTACTTGAGAGGACTGCTGCACTACATGATGCAGAATTTGCAATTCCGGAGGCTTCTGGAACGCCTGCAGATTCTGGTAAAGAACGCGGTCAAGTGGTAGGGGCACTAAAAACTGAAGCCCATAACGAGAACCCTGACTCGCTGGGTGAAGGAGATACGAGCGAAGAGGCCTCAGCCACGCCTTCAGCCGCTTTTGCGGAAAGCCATAAATTAGTTGCATGGGTAGAGTCACAACCGCTTGAGGAGAACGGTGCGCCCGAGCAGAGAAGTGAAGAAAGCGTTTCGTGTATTGACCATAGCGCACGAAGGGAGGCACAGCCTCCTCTTTCAGAAGAACAAGCAGAACTGGTTGAAAGAGGAGAAATTGACGAGCTTCCGCCAGATGGCGAGAATGTCGCGGGGCAAAACAAGGAAGCCACAGCCGAGATCCCATTGCCCCCAACGGGAAAAGTCGACGCAGAGAGTGGCAGAGAAGGAACCTCTTCGCTAGAGAATAGCTACCATGTGTCTACCTCTGACGATGTCCGCATTGACGGAGACGAGGAGGCGAGTGATGGCGATGCGGCTGCCGAGTCAGTTCTGCATACAACAGAGGCCGACCTCAGCAACAATGTTGATTCCGCCACTGTGGTAAGCTCCCTAGAAAATAAGGCTGAGGCACACATGCCTCATGGCGACGAGCTGGTGGGATCCCACGAAGCCGCGGGTGCGGAAACTGAAAGCGTAATGGATGACGAAGTGGCAGCGAAGGAATCTGAACAAGGCAGTAACGTTTCAGAACATGTAGACAGCGCAGCTGATGTAAGAATGGTGACGAGTGAAGGGGATGGAAGCGGCATGATTCGAGACAACGTACCCATCAATATCAGTGAGACTGGTGCGCAAGGCGTAACAATCGGTGATGACATAGGAGCAATTGAGCAGGCTGGAAGCATGGCTATCGGTGGAGTTGCCAACCAGGTCGATATCTTGGAGGATAACCATCAGGATGCTGAGACCCATGATACCCCGGGGGCCTCTGTGGAGCCCATTCCGGCAATAGGAGAAGAATCAGGAAGAATGGCTGAGAGTAGTGGAGGGGTTGAACGCGATGAGACTTTAACAATTCCGTATGCAAGCAACAGCTCGCTAAGAGAAGAAGGTGATGCCACATGCATACGTGAGAACGAAATTGACGCTCCAAGGAATGCTTCGAAAGTCGGCCGAGATGAAGTCGTACATTCGACTTTAGCCCCAAACCCTGAAGAAAGCTTCGAAGTTGAAACAGGTCAGCATGCTATTTTTGCGGGAGAAGCCCCGTTGCTTGTTTCGGATAAGCCCAATGCTTCTGTTCCTACATCTGCGGAGAGACGCAAGACCGAGATGACATTGGATGAGAAAAATTGGGAAAGAACGTTTGCCGTCGGTGCTGCTGCGAAAGGGGGTTCGACTACAATTACGGGGGACAGTGAGATGAGTCACTCCGTGAAAACAGCTTCAGGCGCTGTGAATTCGTTGAGCGAGCGAAACACGAGCATCAAAACAGAGAGCACTTTTGCGCTTGTTGACAAGATCGAAGATTTCGAAGTACGTCATGTTGGTCTCGCTATGCGTGCTGAGTCTGCAGATCGTGTTGCACTTGCGGTGTCTCCTATTAGCAATATATCGACTTCAAATGTGAAAAGACGCTTCACAGGCCAAGAGACTGTTCCTACAGATGAAGCAGAGAGTGGGGTATTGACCCGGGAAAAGGCACTCGTCGTCGAAAACGACGCTGGAGAAAGTCATTTTGCGCCTGTTTCCGAACAAGTGAGTAAGGCGGCCTCTGCAGCAACGACCGAAGAGAGAGTCAGCCAACAGCCTATAATGGAATCTGGATACCAGCCGAGTGTTGACTCCGTTAAGGAAGAGGAGTGGACGGGTGCAATATCTTCAGAAGGAATAGGCAATTTTGAAGCAACGCAAAGGGGTCGTGCCGGGAAAGGCGAGAACGAAAGTGCTGTCCCTGCAGCTGGAGGAGACCCCGGTCATATGTTCGGGCGGCGTCACGCAGATGCACTGACTGGTGACTCAGCCGAAGAAAATGAGGAGGAAGACGCCCTCCCCGCGAATGAGGATGAGACCATTGCCGACACGGCTGCGGGCAAGCACGATGAAATCGCAGAGTCGCAACGAGAGATTTTTGAAGTAAGCCCGGGCCACATTGCTCTCGAAAGTGAGACGCCGGAAGAGGACGCCCTGAGCGATGCGGACAAAATCGTGAATAGACCTCAACCAGGAGAGGCCAACGTCCTAGCTGAGGCACAAGCCGTAGAAGTCTACGAAGAACGGGGAAGTCCAGGAGAGGTCATCGCGGAGGCCGCTGTAGACGAGCCATACTTGTCTACTGCAGATGAGATGATTTCCAAAAACGATACATCTGCAATGCCCTTGTTGACTGTGGTTCATGAACCCGGTGTTGGGGCGGAGGAAACAACTACAGCAACTGATAGCACTGCAAGGGAAAATGCTTCCCCTGCAGAAGCGGAAGCTGAGACGACGGAAGAGGCACCTGGGGCCGAAATCAATGAGAATGCTCCTGCGCCAACTGCGCCAACTGTCGAGGGTAGCTACGTTATGCAAACTTCTGCTGCCCAAGATACGGAAGCACTACGGGAAAAGATTGAAGATCAAGAAGAAATTGTCGTGCCTGTGGAGAGGCTCCAGCCCCGACTGTTGCACGAAGCAACAAATGAAGGGCTGCCTTTTGACGTACAGACCAGCAATGTGGCGTCAAACGAAGATGAAGATGTCCAGGAAGATAGAAACACCGACGCGAAGAACATCAAATCAGAAGGACACAGTTCAGATTGTAACCCTGCAGATGCTATTGAGAACAATCAATTGGCAAAGAGCACAAATTTTAGTGATGCGAATACTGAGATACGTTCTGGTGAAGCGATGAGCGAAGAAGTGCGTGCTCTGCCTCAAGTACCAGCAGAGGAGTTTGTTCAAGCGACACAGGAAATTAAGTTTGAAGGGACAGAAGAAAACTTTTCAACCAGGGTTGGAGCACCTTTGTTCGAGGGGACACCGCCTACGATACCACCGCAGACTCTCGAAAGCATTGCAGTAGCAGAGGACACTGAGGTTCATCCGAGTGAGAAGGAAGCTGTGTCTCAGGAAGACGAAGCTGTGACTGATGCAGCTATCTCTGTGCCTGCGGCACCGATTGTAGAGGGGCCTGAAGTCGAAGAGGAAACTGATCCTGGGGTCAACGACGAGAATGCTGAGTCCGCATACACAGAAGATGTGAATGACGATATCAACGCCTGGCCAACTACTCGAGCTTTGGAGACTACTGACGTCGCATGCACCGCAAACCTTGAACTTGAGGCGCACGAGAGGGACGCTGCTATTTTTGATGGAACAAGTATAGCTGAGGAGTCCCCGGATTTGCCTGCGCTTCCAAGGGAAGAACATGCTAAAGATGTCGTCGTTCGAGACGCAGGAAGTATGAGGAATGAGATTCTCATTGCGCGCGACGTTCCTTCTAACGAGTGCGATGCAGTTGTTGAACCACATGAAGAGGAAATTGCAACACGTATTGAAGGAGCTGTGGGCGGAGGCTCTGCATCTGTGCATGTGGCTTGTCGTTCAGAGAGCAATGAGGTGTGGACAGAAACCGAGGCAATACCTCTTCAAGAAGGTGATTCATTGCATGGCGAGAATGCCGTAGGCGAAGGCACGCCCACAACCCTTGATGCTGGTGAGAGTAGTCTGCAATGTACTGATGAGGTGGTTATGTCGCGTGTGGAGGAACCACATGGTGAGCAAGCCTTTTCTACAGCTGAAGCGCAGGACGTGGATACAACTCATGTTGCAGAGAACGATGCGGGTGAAGGGACCGGTGAATTCACTGCATCGCATGTGGCTGAGGAAATGAACGAATTGACTTCACCTTTGTCTGGGGAGGCGGCGGAAGCGAGCCTTCAAGCGGCAAAGACCGGTGCTTTCGAGCAGAGAAGTGAAGAAAGCGTTTCGTGTATTGACCAAAGCGCACGAAGGGAGGCACAGCCTCCTCTTTCAGAAGAACAAGCAGAACTGGTTGAAAGAGGAGAAATTGGCGAGCTTCCGCCAGATGGCGAGAATGTCGCGGGGCAAAACAAGGAAGCCACAGCCGAGATCCCATTGCCCCCAACGGGGAAAGTCGACGCAGAGAGTAGTAGAGAAGGAACCTCTTCGTTAGAGAATATCTACCATGTGTCTACCTCTGACGATGTCCGCATTGACGGAGATGAGGAGGCGAGTGATGGAGATGCGGCTGATGGGTCGGCTCTGGATGCAACGGATCACGTTGTTAGCCTAGGCATGATCCAGGAGAGTAACTATCATGGTGCCGAGACCCTTGGCACCGCATTGGTGACTGCAAAAGGGGATGCACCACATGCGATGGTGGGAGCGGATGAAACCGCAGAAGTACCTGTGGATAGCGTGTCTGCGTTGTACGTGAGGGACGCCGCCCCCGATTCTGGAATGGGAAGAACAAGTGGTTCTGAGAACGAAAAGGTGTATGAGCGAACCGCAGTTGAAGAAATCACAATAGAGGGCAGGACCAGAGCTGAAGAAGTGGAGGGCAGCAAGGCTGTCGGCGCAAATGCAGGAGAATGTCCGTTGCGCGACACAGAAGATGCGACGGCCATAGACTCACCACGCGATGTGTCCACTGCTGTACGGGGAGACGAAGTTGAGGTAGCCAATGTAGATGGACAGGCAGATGTGGAGACAGCGGCCACCCCACGTCCGAGTGAGGGCTTTAAAACGGATCGTCCAAGAAATGCATTGTGGAGACGGTGGATGGCGACTGTGACCTCCTTTTTCGGCATGATATTCTTCCAAGTTCTCAAGGTTAGTTTGCTGCACTTGTCAGTACCAATGAGCGAGGCTTTTGAAAGAGGCACCCAGCATAATATGGGGACAGCTGCTGCTCGCCACACCGGCGGGTTGGCTATATTCCCTTTCGTAGCGTTTCTTCTTTGCGACAAAGCGAGACGAGGCTCACTCGTGTGTTCCGTAATGCTTACTTGTGCATTTCTCCATCACTTTTTTGTCATCAGCTGGGTCCTCGTGCACGACGGGGGGAAGATGTTCGAACAGATGTCTCGAAACAGGAGTGAGTGGGCGGTGTTGGCGGCATACTCGGATACAGTGAGACTTGCTTTCGCAGTGGTCGGCCTCGTGGGGAGTGTTTACATAGCTTGTGAAAGAACTTTTGGACGGGCTCTGGAGAGGCGCGAACGGCAACTGCCATTTGTTGCAAGGATGGTGTCATGGCTGCTTGCCGGCCTTTACGTTTGTTACTATTTGGATTTCGCGTTTGATGCCGTGGTGTGGGGCATGCGGGATATCGGAGACGTTCTTTATCCCATCTACACGATTATTCTAGTTGTCGGATGTGCAGTATTGAAGTTAACGGGGAGAAGCAGGTGTGAGTAGTGCGTACTTCTTGCCATCAGGGATAGATGCATTAGTGTGAAGGTAGGTAACATGTGGTTTAGTGCTACGGTATTAAAGTACCTGTACACGAACAGTGCAAATAAATGCTTCAACGGTGGTGCACAGCGGTGGCGCCTCACAAGCGATAGGGGTGTCATGATGAGATGGTCAGTCTTGTTCTGTTTTGTCGCGTTTCATGGGACTTGACAACGACAGGAAGTGACATAACTCGGTTTTGTCCGTAGTACAAACAACAGATACGCAAAAAGTCAATTCCATTGCAACTGTCTCCCCTTAACAACTGAGTTTCTCTTTCCAACAGGTCTGGTACCTACCCTCCTGTGCTCAAACAAGGCTTCAAAAGAAAGAAAACTCGTTTTGATTAGCGGTTTATCGCACCTGCTGACCTCCCGAAGGAATGCTTTCTTGACCAGCTTAATGTCGAATGGAAGGGTATAATAGTGACCGGAGAATGCCATGTTTCAAATCCAGCAGTTCTCTACAATAGATGCAAAAGAAAACCCCGTTACCTTAGGTAATTGCACATATACTTCGTCTTCTCTTTTCGAGAGTTTGCTTTCTTGCCTTCTGTATGCGTTGTAGTTGAAGACTGTCAAGACTTTCTAGCAGATGTTGGGACAACCAGCTCACGACCCGTTCTATCCAAGAGGAGAATCAATAGCAGCATATGCTTCTACTTATGCTGCAACAAAGCCTGACATCTCTCACTTTGAAGGTCACTGTCCTACAACGTTTCAACAGCCTTATAACTCTTCCATTTCGATTTTTGCTCGCCCAACACGATGCCTTTCGGAAAGGTACGCCCAACCTCTCATGTTTGGGGGTCAACATCAGCATCCGTGAACATACCCCTGCCGAAGCATCTTATCTAAGGTCACGGCGCGATAGCTTGCTCGAAAACGAGTTCTAGAAGCCATGCATTCTCCCCGTTGATGGAACTTTCGAGCACACCGCATCTAGCTAGCGAGATCTAAAAGGCACTGCTCTCACTTTTACGTGTTCAGACAAACACATTCATAGTAGCCATCAGACGACCAGAAGACGAAGCTACGCCCCCATGATCGTGGTCGATGTACAACCCCAAGGAGTCTTTGCCACCCTCTAAGTGAACCAAGATAGCCTGGGAGCCATTCTCTCCCTCGTTCACAATTTTCCCTCCACTCGCAATAATATGCAGCTTGGTCCGTTGCAGGAAACGGCACTCATATCTTCTGTTCGCACAAATCGATTTACCATGTCTTGCCAGTTCTCCTTCCCGAAATGAACTGCGATCCCGTTCTCCACGTCCCATACTCGCACGTTTGTGTCAAGCGATCCAGATACCGCATGTCTTCCGCCCTACTCATTGCAACACTATCCCCCGACGCCGCTTGACTACCGAAAATTCTCACTACTCTCTATGACAACAAAGCTACAGTTTGGCCAAGGCCACACTGCACACTCCTGCAGTTCAAGTTGAAATATAAGTTTCATTGTTTAACAGTTTCTTTTTGGTCTTCGCATTTGCGAATTCTCTCTACAAAACCGTGGCTGAGAACGAGAAAAATTCAAACCAATATCCACGAGAACTCACATCGACACTATCGGTGCCTCTTCCACCCAGTGTTGCGTCCAGAACGCACTAAAGAGCCGATCTTGGAAAGATATTCTGACACTCTCTGGTGAACAAACGCGCTTCCAGAGTCCTCGCAGAGCCACCCATAAAAATAGCTTGCAATTCCGTGACTGTATCCTGGGATCACGGTGTAATTCCTGACGCGCCCACTCGGGGCACGCCGAGCTGGGGGTGGCGTGACCTCGCTTCCACCTCGGAGCTCACTGTGTCCACCCACAGCTCCATGCAACTTCGTCTGTTTTTCTGATAGTCTAAACTTTCCCATACGAAGCCCATGCTAAACCAATGCATGCATGGCGATTTACCCATACTTGCACGAGCAGAAATTTCCCAAGTGTTTCCTATGCGGAGAAATGCGCCATGATTGCGTGGACGTGCATGGCTTGGTTCATGGGCTTGCATTGGTAATTTGCATGGGCTTTCATGGGTTTGCATTGGCCATGTGCATGGGATTGCATTAGGAATCTGCATGGGCTTGCATGGGATTTTCCATGGCCTTGCATTGGACACCTGTATGGGCTTGCATGGGATTTTGCATGGGATCGCATTGGGAATGTGCATGGGCTTGGAAGAGATTTTTGCACGGGTTTGCGTGGCCATCTGCATAGGCTTGCATTGGCCATATACATGGCCTTGCATGGGCTTTCTGCATGTACTTGATTTGGCTATTTGCATGGGCTTGCATTGACCTTTGCATAGGCTTGCATGGGTCTACTGGGCGGTTTTCTTTCGCTCTAGCCGTACAGGTTTCCTCCTTTAGTTTATGCTACGAGCATAAACTAAAGGAGGAGACTTGCATAGTTTACAACACTACAATACAAGACCCGAACGTCGAGGCAAATCTTTTCGCGCTTGCAGCTGCTGGGGATGGTGGCGGTCGCGAGTGGAGCCCGCCGCCCGCTCCGCTAGTACACTTTTTTGACAGGCGGTGTCGTGTGCTTCTGGCTATGGAGCGCCGTTCGCGGTCTCTCGCAAAGCGCTAAGAGTGGCCGGCCGGAACGGGGCCGGACAGCTGTGGGCGGCATCATGCACTATAATGGTGCACGGCGCATCCCAAGATCGTTCCAATGCTGACATGCTAGTGGCGCACCAGCAAAGCCTTTGTTGCGTCAAGTCAAGTCGAATTGAACTATTGAGTCGGAGAAACTTTGTTCGTGCCTTCCATGACTCTCTGCGTCGGCCACGAAGACACTCCATGGAGTGTCTTCGTGGCCGACAACTGTGCACAGTTGTAGCAGCAGGGGGCTACGCGAAATGCAAAGCAAACGTCAAATCGCGAAAATTTCGACGAACATAGAACTTCCTTGTGGTTGTCGATAGGCGTACTAAAAGAGTCAGTAAAGAGTAGGGTACACTTGTGAGACGTGCAAAGAGTCCGCCAGATGGAGACCTCACTTACCTTTCATCCAGTACGCAGTCCAGCAGACACACAATCGTGTCTTCCTCACCGTGACGGTTGCAAGCAGTGCATGACTAAATGAGATTGTGTTCACACACTGGCAGTCTGTCAGCAAGGACCTGGGCCGACGCCGTAAGTTGAACAAAGACTCTCTCGTAGTGGAAAGATCGATTTGTACGTACCGTGAGTTGTAACAACTGGCTATGCATTCTGAGAACGAAACACCAAACTTCGAGAGTCTCACACTTTAGCATTGACCGTTAGCAAGGAAACATATGTATTCAGCATAATGAAAGCACTTGATCGCTAAAGCAATTTTGAAATGAATGCTGCGAGAGTACGGGAGAGTCCGCTTCGAGTCATCTAGATTGTAGCAGCTCGAACCATGTGTAGATACTCTAACTCCAAGTCCATAGCATAATCAAATGCCTCAACGTCCGGGGGCGCTGGATAGCTGATTCCACTTGCAGTGGCCAGTCGACGGAGCGTCGCAGGATTGCACAGCCTGATACATACTAACTTGATATGTTTTGTTGTGCGCCTCTACGTCACGTACACGGCTGTCTATTACACAGCTAAGCGTGTAGCGTAGAGTCGCGAAAGAGACTGCATCCCATGCAGCCTTATTGGGCTTGGTAGTGCCTCACGGACGGTTTGTTCGTATCGTACGAACACTGACGTCCGAGTACCTGTTCGTCTCTGTATGCTTGGCGAAGTCGCTTCAGGGGCCCATGCGTCATCCTCACAAGCCAAAAGCGTAAAACGATCGCGCTGGCACTAGCGCTGTCGGCCGTGCAACGCAAAGCTCGCGTGGGATGGCGACTAGCCGCCGGGCGATTTCAATAATACCCTTGAATGAAATCATTTTCGGCAGACTACTGGGCCAATCAAAAGGCACCCCTCCCACGTTGTGGACCTCAAGCAGATCATGATGCTCTTGCTCAGTTTTTTTGCCACTCACCGGCAAGCCCATGTGGAAGAGCATCAACAGCAGGGCCAGCTTCTTCACGAAGCTTGTGCCTGCGCCATGCACCACGTTTCTGTTTGTTGCCCGTACTGCAGAGAAAGTTTCCCAAGGCAGGCCTACCTAGGAGCCCACAAGAAAAAATGCAAGCAGGCAGCAGTAGATGAAGCTGAGGCACAAGAGGCTGACGCTTCTGACTCACCGCCACCCGTGAAGTCTCGTCGTTTGCGTGGGAGCTTCCAACTCACCGGTCGTGCCTTGCAAGAGCGGTATGAGGATAGGATCCGACTGGCAGCGCAAGATTCGAATGTTATCCTGCCAGCCGCCGGCCTTAGCAAAACTTTTTCGCCCCATTTCGCACTGGATGCAACAGGGCAGGATGAACAACAGGCAGAGGCAACCGCAGCTGATACGTCAGGTGTAGAGGAGTCGCAAGCTGAGGATGCGACGAAGGAAGAGGTGGTTCACGCACTGCGAAATGTGGTGCTGGAGATCGGCGACAAAGGTGGTGATCGACAGGCGAACACAATCATCAATCTCCTCCAACATCAGTCATTTGATGCAAGCTTACTCAGGATCGGCTTCGAATCTATTCAGGAAATGCGCCAGAAAGCAGAAGAGGACGCTAAATGCTGGCTCGCAGATCTGAACTTCAAGCAGCAGACCATCTGCGACCCCAAGAACTGCAACGTGTATGGAGTTGGCTGGTTCCGCTCGCCAGTCGATTCTCTCAAGCGCCAATTTGCAAAAGCTCAGTCACACCAGCTCTTCTTCGATCCATTCATAGAAACGAACCGCGCCAATGTAAGAGTTTTCAATCACACGATGGGCTGCGCTCTTATAGAAAACGTGGTTCCTCTGATAAAGGACTTCATCATCAGTGGCGATGGCGGTGGATTCTGGATTGATAATTACAGCTTCGTCGGAGCGATTCAAGCTTACTCAGACAAATCGTGCCAGACTTTGAAAGTCGGATCTCACTCCTTCCTGCCTTTCCATATCTGCTCTCTGAACATGACTCAGACGATCCGACAGGAGCTCATCTCCAACGGCGACACTATCGTTGCGTACTTTCCAGTTGAATTCGTGCGGGCTGCAATTAATGTTGCCAACTCTACCGGCGATGACGAGGAATATTGG